AGCAGCCACCGAGAAGGCTCTCCTCCGGGTAGTTGCCAGTCTATACTGGCTGGATGATGGAATTCGGAGTTATTGTTATGAGCAATAAACCATCTCACTAATTCCCCCCACTCCCTCTCTCATATGGATGGCTGGATATATAGATTGAAAGACAGACAGACAGACAGACAGACAGACAGAACGGTCAGTCAGTCAGTGGTGGCACAGTGGTTAGAATGCAGTATTGAAGGCTAACTCTACTCAATGCCAGGAGTTTCATCCTGACAAGCTCAAGGTTGATTCAGCCTTAACCATCCTCCTGAGGTTGGTAAAATGATGACCCAGATTGCCAAGGACAATTTGCTGACTCTATAAATGCTTTGAGAGTGTGGTAAGGCACTATGAATCCATATATAAGTGCTATTGCTGTCTATTATCTCTCTCGCTCCCCCCTCCCTCTTCCTCTCCTCTTCCTCACCTTCTGTCTATCAACCTTCCTAACCGCCCATCTTCCTCACTTCCTTGAGATCCCCAATCTTGTTGGCACAACCATATTTTACAGGACTTCCTGAAAGATAGTCTTACTTGGGATGGGGGAAATGATCATCCATAGGGTGGGTGCAATGGCAGAAAATGCCCATATCCTGAGTCTTGGCAAGGTGGATTCCTGCTAGCAACTTGGGATCCTGCGTCCCTGCCAATAACTTGGTATGCACCTAATACTTTTTCTGCTGGATTTAATAGAATAGGCAGATGTAATTGACTGTGGAGACATCAGGGATCATGATTATATCATTCAGATACTATGACTATATAGTCCTTTCTCCATTATTTTCTTTAAAAATCTCACTTCATTCTCTTGAGGATAGATACTGTCAACAGTGCTATGTATTGAAGAGAAGCAAATTTGAACTCATGTTTGTTTTGACATTTTTAGTAAATAACGACTCCTGGGACATTTTTATTACCAAGAGTATAATTTACTGAGCCAACATGGATATGGAAGTAGCGAAGCCAATTCTAATGTTTTTGTGCACAAACAGTATAGTAAAATGTTCCCCTATTCCCCTTGGTCCTCCCATTGCCACTTTATTCCATCCAATAACTACGGTCAGTTCATTCAGTTGTTTGGTTAACGGAGTCTCTGCCTAGCAGACTTTCTCGGCAGATGAATTTGGTTCTCCAGCTCCAAGTTGGTGCTCTTTGCTTTCCACCTCCTACTCACTTACGCCTCCCCTGAATTCCAAACTATTCCCTCCCCCTGTGGCTACTTATCTGGCTGTGAGCGAGGTTTGCAAAGTGAGCCAAGCCTTAGCCATGACAGGTGCCTTCAAAACTCAATGTAGACTTTCAACTTCAACTAAGGGTTTTCCGGTTTCCGGACCCTTCCCACTCTCTCGGCCTTCCGAAAAGCAACTAAAACCTGGCTATTCCGGCAGGCCTGGGGCTGTTGGCTTCATGAACGAGGTCCAGCTCCACCTAGACTGAATGTATGGTGTGTTGTTTTTAAATTTGTTTCTCTTTTTCTATTTTTAACTCTTATCTTTTATCTTGTTTTTGTAAGGCGTCCAGAGTCCTATGGGATTGGGCGGCATATAAATTTATTAAATTACTAAATTACTATTACTAATTCCTCATTTTTTCACTGACGAACTTCGGTAGAGGGCAGAAGTCCAAATGAGAAATGATGTAAATAGTATTTTCTCCAGCATGTTGTGTGTGTGTGTGTGTGTGTGTGTGTGTGTGTGTGTGTGTGTTTAGTGTCACAACCCCTGGTATGCCCCAATTATGGCAGGAAGCT